ATAAAGGCTTCTTTTTTCTGTATAAAATGAAAATATTGTTTTTAACAGTAATTACTATAACTATTAAGCATTTTTAGTTATGACTGCAATATACAACAAATATGGGATAAACAGCTTGCCAGTCATAATAGTCATACTTAATAAAAATTATTCCAAAACTACTTTTAAACTTTATTGATCTCAGCGAGCCAAAGTAAATAACCATAGTGTTTAAGGTTTGGGGGTCAATTCAGACTCATTCCTTTGTTCATTTTCTTGTATATGTATTTGTTCTTCTCATCAGGTTCCCCTCCCCCCACTCCACCTCTCACACCCACCTTCCTCCACTCTCTCCACACACGCACCCCTCGCTTTTAATATTAGGTCCCAGGACCCATAGGGATGAAAGACAACTTAGACATGATTCCTGGCCTCTTGGAGTTGGTAGTATCCATGGTCAGACACTCATTAGAAAAGTATAACGCAATCTAGAAAACCAGAGGAAAGAAGGTGAACGTGGCAAATGGAGGCAAATAGATCTGGTTTCAAGGAGGTGAAGCCAGAGCCGAGTCCAGAAGGGAACGATCTAGGGGGAGGGCTTCTGGGAAGAAGAAGAAGCAGCATCTGTAAAGGCAGAGGTGTGAAAATGCACCGTCATTCCAGTTGATTTGAGTCCAATTTCTTCACCTAAGAGTTGGCAGCAAAGTAGAAAGTTTAGATGCTTCCTCATCCCTCTCTGAGATAGGGATCACCCCTTTGAGGCTTCTCCGTGTCCCTCAAGGGGCCAGGAAAGATTCCCAGAGCTGTGGGGAGTCTTCAGGTAAGAAGGAAGGGCTGGGTTGCCCTCTCTGAGACACAGACCTTGGTGCACCCTCTAGATATGCTGGAATGCTGGATGCTGATGATGGTGTCATCCCTGAGAGTGACATCAAAGGCTCTGATTATTCCCAAGTTTCAGTCTGCCATGTGGAGCCAGTTCCTGTCAGGCACAGAACCAGGCTGCTCAGACTTCATATTAGGCTGAGTCAACCTTAAAAGAACCAGAGAAGAGGAGGAAACAAGTGAATCCCATCAATAGATAGGTTTATAACTCACCCCTTGTGGACTTCAGGCATGCACATCCCCAGCTATAAACAAGGGGCAACAGAAGGCTCCCTCAGAAAAGACTAGTTGGACGAAGCACTATTTTTAGCAAAGAAAATGGAAGTGTCTTTACAAACATAATTTAATCATATTCATCAATCCTTCTGAGGGTCAGGTATTTTGCTAGGGGCTGGGAATGGTGGAGAACAGTTTGGCTCTGACTCAGGGGAGGCTCACTGTGACAAACACCAATATGTAAATGAAAAGTTGCTGCACAGCAGGTGACTTTTTAAGTGTAATGGGAACATAGAATGAGGAGTGATCCATTAACTCCTGGGGACCAGGAAAAGAGAAGGAGACTTTTAAATGACACCATTGGAATTCGGGTGGGACCTATATAAAATTAGACCCCATGAAATTCCCATAATTCAATCCTAGTTGACATGAAGAGGTCAGTTTCATATGGTTTAACCTAACAGAAGGAACAGAAATGGCATGGAGTTTCCATCCCATCCACCAACTGATTAAATGGTAGCAACTGCCTAGAAGCTGTGTTAAGAATGACTCAGAGGATTCCAGGCTAATAGAAAAGGATACTGTGGGAAATTGATGAATGGTCTGTCCTAGCTAGGGAATGGTGTCTAGTGGTAGAAATTGAACACAGTTGCCATCTTTAAGTTATAAGGAGGAAGCCCCCCCACACACACACAAAGGCCTGGATATTAGAGCAAAATTGCTTTAGAAACAAAGGCACAGAAGTCTGAGAAGTACAGGATATCGCCATGGTGGCAAGTAAATGGTCTATGTTGGGGGGATGGGGCACGGACAGAAAACACAATGCAATAGGCTCCTTAGAAAGCTGCCTCACAACGTGCCTTGAATGACCTTGTAAACACTTTTCATGGTGCTGCGCATACCTTATTGTCTATTTGAGTTACTTTTTTAAACTAATATAATTGACTCTCCCCCCGCCCCCAAAAATGCATGGAGGTTATAATGTTTTTCTCTGACTCTTTGTTTTTGTTTAATTCAAAGCTTTCTCCTAAGAAAAGGTCACAAAGTACTAAGAGAACATACAATAAGTACTTTGCAAATTAAATTAGAGGATGCTTTTTAGGAAAAAAAAAAAAAGTCTTGTGACACTATAGGTTTTGTTTTACAAAGGTCAGAATTACAGCATAAAGAATTTTTTTTTCACTACCAAGAGGGCATCCAAAGAAGTTATTTCAGCCCAGTTTCTCTGACTCTACAGCATAAGAGCATTAGGAAAGCTTCATTTTGCCCTGCCAGGATTTAGCTTTCTAGAGGGAATCTGTGTTGTGTCCCAATGGGATTCTCTAAATTGCATTGAGAGTGTTGAAAATTGACCCTAAGGTTTTGACTGCACAATATCGAAATGTTCTTCTGGATATATTTTTGCTACAACTTTGCTATTTTTCTTTTGAAACCACAGCACCTCCAAGAAACTTCAGATCTCATTTTAAAAAGTGGTTTTTAACCAGGGGTGGACAGGAGAGACCCCTGGAATTGCTCACAGGTCCCACCCTACAAGGCACTGATGTGGCTTCTCTCTATGTATCCTAGAGACATTAGTTTCTATCTGAGATTCTAGCAATGAGCAACGACATAGAGATGGATACCGCTGCAAAGTCAGACTAAGTGCTCATTGATAAGGCACATGGGGGGGGGCGGTGTGTTAAGGAGTATCCTGTATCCTTTGGGTGCATAGTCCAGTGCTGTTGGTTGGTTCTAGACCCCATGCCCCCAAGATCTGGTGTTCAGTTTGTCTGCTGTTAATTGCCATACTACACTAGTTTCTTGCCAAAACCAGGAAGACTTACTGAGAAGTCAGACCATGTGAAAGAAGTCCCTGCTTATACGTTGGGTTAAGCTTTTTTTTTTTTTTTTAAATTTTTTTTAATGTTTTATTTATTTCTAGGAGAGAGAGAGAGAGAGAGAGAGAGAGAGACAGCATGACAGGGGAGGGCCAGAGAGAGAGGGAGTCACCGACTGAAACAGGCTCCAGGCTCTGAGCCGGCAGTCAGCACAGAGCCCGACGCGGGGCTCGAACCCACGAACCGTGAGATCGTGACCTAAGCGAAAGTCGGACGCTCAACCGACTAAGCCACCCAGGCGCCCCGGGTTAAGCTTTTTAAATAAAGTAGAAAGAAGATGAGTTGAGCAAAGTCTGATCATAACTCGGGCCCAACCAGACTCTGAATACAATGACTGCCAAGAGAAGGGTAGTCACTCATATCCAGACTTCTGTGGGAGCCCTTCTCTGGCCTTTAGTGGAGGATACCAGGGTAAGCGTTGGAAGGACTAGGGGACGTTTCTTCAGATGGTCCATGGGCTGTTTCTCCTGGTTAAAGAGTGGATAGATATGGTTGAGCTGGTGAAGGGGGGACACTTTTAATAGATCTTTGCTTTACCTGGAAATAAGGTACAAAATCCAGGGAAACACAAGGAACAGAGGGTAGAAGTGGCATTTGCAGAAGCCTTCTCAGCCCTTCTCATAGGATCCATCCATCCTTGGCTCCGTACCTGAAGGATGTTGGAGCCAAGGTCATGGAGATGGTCTCTGGAGCTCAGTTCAGGAAAGATGGCAGTCTCTTCATGGTTCATGTAGCAATCCATCTCTGATTGGCAAACCCCCCCACTCATGCTGCGAGTTTTAACTATACTTCCTTTGACCTTGAGAAAGACACTTTCGGGTTCTACAACCCCTTTTTGAGCAAGGGCTGGCAAGTCTCCAAGGACATGTAGCTGAGCTCACAGTAAGGCAGGCGTCTTCTCACTGGAGCAGCTTACCAGCTGTAGTGATGGCTGGCGGGTCCCAAACTGAATGGAGGCACTGACCTTGCCCAGCCAGGCAAGTGAGCAGAAACCACCAGAACCCATTTCTGTCCTCAGTAATGGGCTGACAATTCCTCAGAAGTCTCTCTCATTCTTTTCAAAGTCAGTGTGAGCTTTGCAGCAGCAGGAGAGCAGAATCGATACCCTGAGGATTCCTGACCCTGCTCCTCCTGTTCAGAGTGGGCGATTGTTCAAAACACATCATAGACTGAGGAGATATCTCCAGATTCCATCGTTCTTCCCTGCTGGAAAATTCCATTGTGCCAGGAGAAGCCCAGTGCCCTTTGCTTTAAATAAGGCAGAGGACAGTCAGCTCTGCAGTGCAGGCTTGGTGAGACAGCCTTTCCTTGCTGGCAGCCTGAGAGCTTTCCGGAAGAAGTGGGAAAGCACAGAAGCTAAAGGCTGTCTCACTCCAAGCCCAGTGTGGGTCCAGGGTGGGTCATGCGGAAGGTGAAAGTTGCATTCATTGCTTCTGTGCCGCACCTCTGTTCTTCCCCTGAGTAACTGATTCAGATGGTCTAAAGTGGGGGAGGAGGAAAAGTTTTCTCCAAACAAAGCAGTGCATGTGCTGACCCTTTGCCAGGCTGTGATTAAGTGTTAGCCCCTGCATTGGGCCCATCTCTAGCCATATGATTCACAACCCTTCCTGGAGGTAGGTATATTCACCGCATTTTCCAGATGAGAATCCCAAGGCACAGAGAGGTACAGTGACTTACCCAGATCACACAGCTAAGTGGTGTCTGAGCCAGGCTTGTCATCTAGTTCCCTCTGATCTTTCTCAAGCTCCCTTTGAAGTATGCCATACTGCCGCCATCACTGACCTGAAACTGGGTCCTGGAGCATCCAGACCCCACTATGGAAAGCCCGGCTGACAAGGAGTCACTTTTTCTTAGAGGGCTGGAGGGTGGGCTTCTGAGTCCCTTCTGCTGAGACAGAGGGTTTCCATGGGTGTCCCGGCTATGTGCACGGGGATGTGGCTATGTTTTCATTTCTCTGCCTTTCTTGTTTGCGTTGCTGTGATCTCACAGGTGTAGCATGCCTGTTCCCAAACCAGATACCATCTATCTCTCTCTCTTTCGTAGGCACGGTGCTGTTGTGCCAGGCAAACCAGGAGGGATCTTCCATGTACAGTGCCCCCAGTTCACTTGTATATACTTCCGCAAGTAAGCCCGCTGTTGTGGCTCTCTTTCTGTTTTGTGACATAAATCTGAGTCAAATCACCTTCCCTGCTATGTAAGTTCCCCTCCCCTCCCTCTCTGCTCCACCCTCCCTGTGGCTGTCCACAAGGTGAAGTTGATTCTCATAAGCATGTCTCTGTGTTCCTGTTGCCTTAGCATCTAATCCCTTTGCTCATTACGTGTGAATGCTCACTTCCTGGATGTCCAGTCATCCTTTGTTAAGACCTATCAGGATCCAGTCCAATGGATGGGACATGGGGCATTGGTTCTGGGGGAAGGCGCATGATGGTGTGGGTGAGGGTGGGGCTAAAGCTCACTGCCTGCCTTCTACCCCTGCTTTGCAAATTAACATGAAAATAATGGATGTAAAATACGCAGGCCAGCCAAGTGACCCCCTCACCTAGCAAAAGGTGTTTGATTGTCATTCTCCAGCACCATTTTCTCACTGGAAAACAGAGGCTTGTTTGCAAGGCTGTTCTGCCCTTTTGCTGTGTGATTCCATTGAGCAGGAGGAGGAGAGAGAATGAAGTGATTCTCCCCAGTTTAACTGGGTAGAGGAAATAACAGTAAAAGGCACTTTAATAGATACGAATGTGGCCATCAAGTGGGGAGAAGACCCACAAATAAATATGGAAGATAGATCTCAGTGTTGGTGTGGGAAAACCAAGGGTTTCTCTGCCTGGGTTGGATGCTTCAGGGTAGAGAACGCCCCACCCCCACCCCAGTTCCTAGGACAGGTGGAAGAATTACAGTTCTCGTGGATTCCGTCATAGTTAGCCCAGCTGGCTTGCTCCTCCTCAGAAAGATCCCTGGGCACAGCTGAGACTTTCTCATGTATTTCATAGGGTGATGAAACCCCCTTAACTGCCAAACGGGTCCTCATTGGAATCGGTGCTCAAAAGTGAGTGTGAAAACAGGGTAAGGCAGGCTGCTGGAGGCTAGCTAGAGAAGGGGGTGGTGGAAAGCAGAGGTAAGAGGCACATGTTGGGGGGATGGATGGGAGAAACAGAGGGGAGATCTCCCAGATGCCAAGACCAAGCGTCTCAAGTCCCAAAGGCTCAGGAAAACCAAACTCTTTGCTGTGGGGCACAAGTTAGAAGTAGTCACCAGGAGCCAGAAACATGACTGGGAAGTTCCGAGGGTTTCTGAAGGCGCCAGGTTGTAGGGGAAGCCCATGTCCATCCCAACCAGCCTTATATCTCCAAAGGCAGTTTGGCATTCATTAAATGCAGGACGTCTTTCTGTGTCCCCAAGATACCAGAATCTAACCATACTGTTAAGAAGTGGTTCTTTCTTAATATAAGGAAATTTACCCCTTTGGGCAGTATAAATGTGTGTGAATGTATCTCGTAGAATTAGGATACTAGTATACATGTTCACATGCACAACCTTGTTTCATCATCAAGATCTGCACCAGGTAGGTATTACAATGTTTGCTTTTCAGCAGAGGAATGGAGGGCATCAAGACTGAGTGATAACCCAGGATCACACAGCCATAATGTGGTAGATTGGTTTTTTGAACCTGGGAAATTATTCAACTTTTGACTGCTTTTCTGGCTCCCTTTGACCTTAAATATCATCATCATTCCATTGTCATGTCTCCTACCTTCTCTATAAATATTATTTTCTGAAGGAACATTGGCAATCCAAAACTTACCATGGTTGAGTTCCAGACTGTTAGTTTGTTTTCTGTAACATTTTGTTGTCCCATAGAACTGAGATGAAATGTTCCATATCTGGCTGTCCAGTAGGTAGACTTGTGGAACAGAGGCATTGAATTTTTTATTTAATGTAGTTTTAATTAATTTTACTCGGATTAGCCAAATGGGGCTAATGGCTACCATATTGGAAAGCATGGCTTTCAATGATCATATGAAATACACATTTCTACTTAAGTTCCCTGTTCCGAAGTTAACAGAACAAATGAAATCCAAATTGGGCTGGTTTGAATTGGTATAGCTCTTCTAAGGTGGCTTTAGGGAAAGTGTGTGTCATAAATATCAAACATGGGAAGATGTCACAAATTCTTCATGTCAAAATAGGGAAAGTGTACAGAGGAAACAATGTTATCTGAAGCAGGGATCGGCAAACTACAGCCTAGGGGCCAAATCCAGCCCACAGCCTGTTTTTGTAGAGCTTGTGAAGTAAGAATGAGTCTTATATTTTTCAAAGGAATATAGAAACAAAACAAAAACAAAAGACAACATGTGACCGAGACAGAGATGGTCCATGGAGCCAAACATATTGTCTTTATAGCACTTCACAGAAAAGTGTGCTGATCTCAGATATAAATGGTCCGTTTAATTATTGAAAAATACAAACTGGCAATATCACTTTGCTGTTTGTTTTTTCCCTGAGTTTAAAAGTAAAAATGTATAATAATTATAGAAACTAAATAATGTGTGTCCAATACCCTTCATTTTTAAATTGCATAATCAATCATAGTACCTACACATTTTTCATCCTTTTATTTTCATTTATTATCATGTCATGTGCACTTTCTGAAAATATGTTAATGGCTACATAATATTCTATCATTTCACAATATTATATTTTAATCCACTTCTCCATTGTTGGGTACTTCAGTTGGTAGGAATTTTTAAGAAATATTAAAGAAAAAATGTCCTTGTACAGAGCAGTGTTAAAGAAACAACAATTAATAAGTAGCTGATCCTCCTACCCCATAACAAAGCAAAAACTCATTTCTCACAATAAGAATCTTTACTTGTTGAACCTTAAGCAACAGTAACCAGACAGACAAGCTCAGGGAGTGTTTTGTAGGGACAGACAGCCCCTAGGCTTTTCCTTCCCCACGTGAGTCACCAGAGGGACTGCAGATTATTTCCATCTTGACGCAACAATGCTGAGTGTAAAGACTATCCCTTCCTCCCCGAGACACATTGCTGAGTTTCTCTGCTTCAGTTCTCCAAGTAAACAATGCCTTTTGGGACTAGACTGTGTGCAAGTTATCTAACTTCTTTGTAACTTAGATTTTCTCTTCCAGATTAAGATGAAGGTTCTAGAGCAAAGTCACACCATATGTGCTGTAAACAATCCTGCCAGCATATAAAGGCTCATTTTTGCTTGCTGTCTGTCTCTGTCTCTATCTCTCTGTATCTCTCTCTCTCTCTCTCTCTCTCTCTCTCTCTCTCTCTCACACACACACACACACACACACACACACACACACACTGAGGGCATGCACATGGCCACATGAAGTTCATATCCTCTCCAGCTCTGACGTACATGTGGCTGAGAGCCACATCTCTGGTCTCTGGGGTCTGAATGGTGTGGCCTCTTTTTGTCTAAGAATCAAGCCTTCTTCCCAAAAGCTGAGGGTCCCTTACTTCTCAGCAATCTTGTAGGATATACCTGCTTTTTAACTTGAAAATGTGTATATTTCTCATGACTAGCTAACAATTGTACTCTTGAAGAAAGGTGTGTATAAATTACACTTTTGTAAATTGGATCCTATGTTTTCACTGATTTCCGTGATTACTCCTGAGATTGTGGTGTTTTCCCCCCATGGATCTTTAACTGGCCTTGGATATTTTAGACTTAAATTGCCCCTCTGCCTAGCCAAATAGCTAATCATCTGTAAATAACACCCTTAAATGCAGTAGGGGAGATGGTTTTTAAAGGAACCCTGCTGAATTCCTCTGTAATGAAAATAATTCCTACTTGAAGTTATCTGTTTTTTAAGATGCACTTTTGCATAATGGGTTTTCCCCATACTTAAGTGAATCATCCTAATATGACCCAGGACATGAAAGCATTTAGAGAGAGATTTCCAGTCACGGCTCTGTGTCAATACAACCTAATCCTGCAGATTCTCCAAATTCTCCCCAACCGACCTCAGTTTTTCCTCCTCATCCCAACCTTTATCCTGGAGTGAAACCCCAATTCAAGTTGTATCATGGGACGTCACACACCCTCTCACGTGTCCTGGTGAACCACGAGCATCCAGAGTGTAAAGTGAGCTTCCTTTTTGGCAGACAAATGAAGTCAAAGCAAAAATTCTAGAGAATTAGGCAAGATCACCTTGTACCAAATGGAAAACATTTAATATTAATATTTTTGTCTTAAAAAACATTAATTTTTCATAAACTAAATTGAATTAAATGAACTACTTCATTAGTTTTGAACTAATTTTAAATAATTTAATAGCTTTACATTTGCTTTCCATAGCCCACAACCAACCCCATAATGGAGAAGTTTGGTGAAAGTGGGGGCAGGGCCGGTGGGCTTGTTCACTGCCCACCCTGTCCTGGGCCAGTGGTCTGGAGGCTCCTGTCTCAGGGAAAGGCACCAACTTTATAATCAGCACTGTTTGCATACAGAACCTGCTGACTATCAGAAATGACTCCAGGCAGAAATAGGAAAGGAAAGAACATGTCACCTTTCTTCCAAGTTAAAACATTACCTCCCCTTTTTATTAGTTGAAATATCAAGAAGTGGATCCAAGATTCCATGAATGGCAGAGTCACTTTCTCATTTGCATTAGCAAAGCCAGCTGTCACGGATCCTTATTTCTATAAGAAGTAGATGTTTCCAAAAAGAAGGTCATTGTTACCCACTTTACTTTGTTTTCTTTACAATTTCATGAATAGATTTTAAATTACAAATCTGACGTGTGTTCACTGTAATTAGAGAAGAATGCTAATAAATACACACACACACACACACACACACACACACACACACACTCTCACATATGTGTGGAATGATGTGGTAATAATATCCCCAGTTGATCCCAAAACATACACCTTTAAAGCAACCCCTGTTGGTTGCCTGGAAATCTCTTTGCACATTTTCTCCATTATACAGTGCAAAAATGGGCAAACAGACTCGGCATGTATGTGTTAGTAATTTGCTTTTCTACAGAGGGGGCTGTACACATGCATATTATGGGCACATTCCACGTATTAGTCATATTTTGTGACTACCTCCCATTTAGCCCCCCAGCTGTTTTCATGCAGTCCCAT